TTTTTTTTTTTTTTTTTTTTTTTTTTTTTTTTTGCAATACTCGAAAGTGGGAAGCAACTTTTACTTGCAGCAACTCAAAGAAAATCAGGACATACCATAGGCAGTTGATCTATTTTAAGAACAAATTTGTTTTTGTAAAATTTGTCGCACCTTTGCTGTAGAGAAAAAACCTAATTATTATCTTACTGCTGCTACACTAAAAATATATTTACTTTTTTCAAAATAGTTGAAAGATTATCAAATTTGCAACTGTTGTCATTTTAAACGTTGTAAAAATAGCTTTGTTTTTAAATTTCTTGTTGCTTTTGAAACTGTTCAATTAATAAAGAAAAATTTTGAAATAAAGCTCAAGAAATGTAACGCAGTTGTAATTAGTTTACAAATTTATTTACTACTGACTGATAACAGTGTATCATTCAGTTTTAACTGCGCAAAAAAAAAAAGACCGTCATATGCCAAAAATGAAAAAGGCAAAAGGCTGAATACAAATTGTTGTTTACGGGTTTTCTGCTTTGCTGAAACTCAGTGACTTGTGAATTGAAAACTACGTGTCAGAAGGTGTTACATTACAGAAATTTTGATCAATTGACATCTTAATACTGTAAAGTTAAACCGGTTTATGTAACACACACTGTTCAAAAAAGTTTGTAGCTTCTAGTTTCTGAAGACTTTTGTACTTTTTAACGTGCAAAACAAAAACTGGCATTTAATCAGTGTTTAAACTGTGAGAAAACTGTCTATTATTTGTTCAAATATTCAGAAACTTATTGCCTAAGTAAACGACGCTCTAACCAGCTGTAGTATGCTGAAAAATCTTTTCTGCGCCGTAGCTGTTGTTAGCTTTCTGGGTAATTGTAATGCTTTCAAGATTGCAGTCTTTGTTCCGGATATATCAAACAGCCAGGTAATTGTCGGTAATGCTTCTCAGCCAAAAAACTACAACTACAAACGTTGCTAATAATCTGCTTCCTGAAGTGAATAACTAGTAGTTTTATCGAAAAAGATTTTACCGGTTAAACAAACTTTAGGTGATATGGAATTATCGAGTAGCAGAAACACTTCATAAAGCCGGTCACGAAATTGTTCTTATAAATCTTCAAATGATACAAGTTAAAAAAATAAAGCTTTCTGTACCAAAAGGAGTTACAGGTAACAAACTTATTATTGTTGCTTTTATTTGCAGCTAATATTCGGCATCAACATACCGTTGTAAAATTTTAAATTAAAAAAAATAAAAAAATTGAAATTTTTTCAGTTAAAATTGTTGTAAAATGCCTAATTTTTGAACACATAATTTTGTTTATTGTTTTGTCAACATTTACAACAATTACAGAAAGATTTTGTAATCATTTGTCTTTTGCATTTTTTTGATCAAGTTACCGAGCAAACTATAAAAAAACTTTTAAATATGACACGACTTCGTAAACAACGATTTTTTAGTTTAAAAATTCAATAGTTTCTATGTTGACCTTCAGTAAACCTCAAAAGAAACGAAGCGGTTTTTAAAGCAGTAAGCTGATTTACGCAAATAAAACGTCTCTGTCAAAACTAAGCCTTCTTCTACAGCAGAGATCAGGCCCGCTGACCAAAATTCACTAGTTCACCAATTTCAACAAGAACCTTTACCACAACTTGTAGATTATTATTTACAAAACTTTACCTTTAAACACTGAAAAAGCCTAGCAGAAAAAGTTTCTCTACTAGGAACTTGCACCAAAATTACAGTTGAATTTAAGAAAAAAAGCCACCAGTTTTTTAGCTCAAAGATAAATTTTATTTCCTAATTGAAAAATTTTGCTAATGTTTTTTTTTTTTTTTTTTTTTTT